CCATGCAGAAATAACAAAATCCGAATAAAGCTTTCTCCACTCAAAATAAACACTCCATAATAGTCCTGCACTCAGCAAATGTGCAAACCCTGCATCCTTTTCCTGATCAATTCCACAGTGGCAGCACCTCATATTGTCACAAAAAAACACTCCTTATGCATTATGTATGTGACTGAATGAATCCCCCTGCCATACACGCAGACAAGGCAAATTACTAAAACTATGTAATGGTTCTGTGTTCTCTGGAAAAGTGCTCCATCAATCTGTGCCTTCTAGATATAGTAAAAAGTCTACTCCTTGCAACAGCAGATCAATTTTGTATAATTTTTTTTTTTTTTTCTGTGAATGGGGTTTTTTCTGCCTCACCTATGGAAATACCAGGTACTTCCCTTTGCTGTCCTGGATAAGCAATACACTGGTTTACTTTCAGGATTTGTAATTTGGTCAGCCATTCGTTTCATATACAAATTTCTGCTAGCCACTATGACCACTTTTCTAGTCCATGGTGCAGTATTACTACTTCCTGTATCAGCTCCCTACTCATTGGACAGGGATGATAATGCTTACTCACTATCCAATGAAGAGGCTAGAGGAGAAGAGGAGACATAGGAAATTGAATTGTTGGAGCAGGAAGATTAATAGTTCAATCAGAAACTGTGTGTGTCATTTGCCTACCTATGGATTGGGAATAATTACTGTAAAAGAATTACAAATCATTATGTGTGTAAACAGTAAACCTATGTGTGACGGAATGCCTGTCACCCCGATTGGATGACTCCATCAGAGAACCGATTCCTCGCCACTAGGACACAGGACCAAGGTATTCTAGCTGGGCATTGCAACCAAGACTAGACGACACTAGCTTAAATGCCAAAAACTGAAACTCTTTATTGAACAGAAAACACTGTTTTTTTTACACTCCAGCAACAGTGGCAGTGCCCACAGGAACAATAAACACAAATATTATACATTAGGATAAACATCCCACATTGATTAGGTAAGAGCTTGATCACATTATCCTAAACAATGCAAATGGTGAACAGTGCAGCCAACAGCTAACAATGATCTAATTAACATTAACCTCCCTAACGGTATTCCCGAGTGTAGCTCGGGGTAAAATGTCTGTACCAAAAGCGGTAACCCCGAGCTACACTCGGGCTTACCATGCAGCGCTGCATAGGGAGTCCCTGCAGCACTTACCTTGTCCTTCGCTCCCGCGATGTGTCCCCTACAGCATCATCGGCCATCTCCTCCGGCCGATGCCGGCATCCGGCTCCTGTGTTCCGGTCCCTGTGACGTCGGGACGTACGGGTGCCGCCGGTGGCGGGAAATTTGAAAATTTAAAAAAAATTTCATTTTTTTCAAAACTATTTTACATGGTAAAACATTGCTGTTTCAACCCATTTCACATACAATTTGTCCCTAGTGCTTTGTCCTGTCCCCTGTCTGCATTTTGATTGTTCTTTCTGCCTGGAAACTTAGAAAAGTCCATGGCGTCCAAAAAGTGTCCCTTTAGGTCCAAAGTGGGTTTAGATCAGCTAGAGAACAGCGATAGTAAATCAGAACCACTTGCAGAATTGAGTGATAATGATTCGTGGGGAAATTCGTCATCAAACACTGAAAATGATTCTGCTACTTTGCTCAGTGATGTGCGAACTTGGCGCTATATTTCAAATTTCAGTGTTTTTGGTTTGATTATATTATTGAATTAAATGTATGATTTAGAATCTTGTTCAGACAGATTTCAGTGAGTTATTCCTAAAAATTACAGCCTACAATAAAAAAACTACAAATTTCCATGCAAAATAATTGTACCGCTTTCAGCACCAAAAATATGAAATAATCATACCGCCAGGGAGGTTAAGCTAATCAAAAGCCAGGCATCCAGACAATGTTTTGATTAACCAGGTAGTTCAACCCAGGCAGACTGACAATAAGCCCACTCCCTGAATATACAAATGTACATTACACATGCTGTCTTTCAGGTATTTCTGGAAGTACAGTTGACAGGTAAATAACTGCGCTTTTTTTTTTTTTTTTTTTTGTTTTTTTTTTTCAACAAAAGTGGAGTTACTCTTTAATGTTCACTACTAACAACGCCACCATCACTCCCACCCCATACGCCAAAGTCCTGAGTGTCACCCTGGACTCAAACCTTTCCTTCCAACCTCACGTCCAATTACTATCAAGGTCATGCAGGCTCCACCTCTGCAACATCTCCAAGATACGTACATTCCTCACCCCAGACACTACTAAACTCGTACACTCCCTCATCATCTCACACCTGGACTACTGCAACTCCCTTCTCACTGGCCTACCCAAACAAACACTATCCCCACTCCAGTCTATCCTGAACTCAGCAGCGAGACTCATCCACCTCACCAACTGCTCCACATCCACCACCCCCCTCTGCCAATCCCTTCACTGGCTCCCGATTGCCCAGCGCATCAAATTCAAACTGCTAACTCTGACCTACAAAGCCATTCATAACGCTGCCCCAAACTACCTAAACGACCTGATACCCAAATATTACCTTACCGCTCCTCACAGGACCTCCTACTCTTTAGCTGCTGGTCTCCTCCTCCCTTGCCCGATTGCAGGACTTCTCCAGGACTTCCCCCATCCTCTGGAACTCCCTACCCCAATCCATCAGACTGTCACCTACCCTCCTCACCTTCAGGCACACCCTGAAAACCCTCCTCTTCAGGGAAGCCTACCCCACCCTCACCTAACAACTGACCTCCTCCACTCTTCCCACCACTCCATCCCCTACAGCCATTTCCTCCTGTACCACTTTCCCCTCCCTCCTAGATTGTAAGCTCGAAAGAGCAGGGCCCTCGAACCCCTCGTGTATTGTATTGTTACTGTCTTGTCTCATGTTCTGTCCCCCCTGCTATTGTACAGCGCTGAGCAAACCCTTTGGCAAACCCTAATAATAATAATAATAATATTTGCTTTCACTTGTATAATCTGTCTATCATAAGAGAAAACTCATACAATATTCCAACTTTGAAAAAGTGGGATTATTTAATCTTCTTAGATTTCTTGAGGGAGATTGTTGATGAATATTTCTGTCCAAAATGGAGGCGCTTCTTTAACCCAGTCCACATGAGTGCCACCATATTTTCTCTGACCATTAACCTGTACAAGATCAATATTTCTTCTTTCTATCCACTCCAAAATGGATGATTTACTGTCTTTATGGAGAGAATGAATAAAAGCCTCCCTCCCAGCGTTCATCACATTGTTCTCCATCATTAGAGAATGATCTGCTCTCTCAATGGGCCATAATTAGTGAGTATAAGGCTAGCCCCTGGTCCCCTCCAAAAGCCCCTGTCCCAGTTGGGTCTGTCACACTATGTATTTCAAGTTTAAAGTAATTTGTTATTTTTATCAGCTGGGTGTTTGTTCCAGTCACCCCTGCCAGAAAACATGGTCAGATCTTGTCCTCCTCTCCAATTTTGCCCTTCCCCGTGTTCTGTGCAAAACAGTAACACCTGGCTCATATGGCTGCCCAAACCTTTTGAAAAAGCCAAGAAACTGACAATTTTAGATGGATAGCTTAAAGTGGCTGTAAACCCTTACATATACCCACTGAAGTGACTAGCCTCAGGTGATACACAGAAATGACACAAATCCTCCTACATAAGGTGTACATGTTTATCTGCTGCACTCACTCCTATACAGCTGTTCAAAGTACAGAATTTAGACAGCATTTATGAACTCCAGAAGGCAGGGGTGGTGATCTTATGTCACAAAGTTCACAGCATAGAGCACAGAGTTGAGTGTAATCTGATACCTGAGTGGAGGGAAAGGGCACACCCCTCCTCTACACAGTCTTATAGGAAACAGCTAAGACTGTAAAGCATAGATTGTTAGAAGTGACTCATGCAGATAACAGAGGAATGAGAGAGGAGACAGAAATCACACTTAGTGCTTTGGATTTGAAAAATCTCCATTTTTTGTGATTACTGCTAGAGATGAGCGAATCGAACATGACGAAGTGGAATTCGTTCCGAAGATTTGGAAAAATTCGATTCGCGACGAATCCGAAGATTAGCAAACTTCGGATGCACGAATCGAATTTTCCCAAAAATGGCGGCGACATGTGTGGCGACGGAGAAAATGGACAGAGAAGATGGGGCGGGGATCTCTGGGAAGGTGCGCAGACAAGGCGCGCTGACCCATAATGCATTCATGACATGTGATCGCATTAGCCAATCAGCAGCCAGCCAACACTGTGTAATGGTGGAGCTATAAATCGCAGCCATCTTAGAATTCTCCATTAGCCTCCGGTCATTCAAGAGAGACAGACCTGTGTGTATTAAGGGACAGAGTTAGGGCCACAGAGACTTTAGGGCCACAGAATCGTTACTCAGGGACACAGAATCGTTACTCAGGGACACAGAATCGTTACTCAGGGACACAGAATCGTTACTTAGGGCCACAGCTATCAAAGAATCGAAAATTTAAAGTGACATACACCCTTTTTTTTTTTTGGTGGCTGTCGTGCACAGTTGGTGCTGCAGTTTGCCGATTGTGCAAAATAAACTGACTTTCTGCTTCACAACCACTATTGTACGTTCAAAGAGTTAAATCCATTTACACGCCGGCTGGTGGTAATATTTTTTGGGTGATTAGTGCATTCCAGTGACACAAACGTACAGTTTCCAGCCAACGGCAAGCTGCAATTGACCGATTGTGCTAAATAAACTGACTTTCTGCTTCACAACCACTATTGTACGTTCAAAGAGTTAGATTCATTTACACGCCGGGTGGCGGTAATATTTTTTGGGTGATTAGTGCATTCCAGTGACATAAAACGTACAGTTTCCAGCCAACGGCAAGCTGCAATTGACCGATTGTGCTAAATAAACTGACTTTCTGCTTCACAACCACTATTGTACGTTCAAAGAGTTAAATCCATATACACGCCGGGTGGCGGTAATATTTTTTGGGTGATTAGTGCATTCCCTGCGCCATGTGCCTCTGTCGTCTGCTCACGCTGCTGACGGCTTCCGCTTTTTAAACTAGTCCTGTGTATGTCTTCCGAATACTGCTGCCTCCACCGCCACCCTGCGCCATTTGCCACTTTCGGGTCTCCTCACACTGCTGCCAGGTCCATACTGATTCATGGCCCCCTGTACCGGCTCCTCATGAACGTGGTTCAGCGGGTTTGCATCACTTAACGGCAAATCGTTGACAAACGCTGGGATGTTCAGTGTTGTGCGCATTAAGCCAGACACCAAAGGGCAGCACAGACCTGTTATTACTCGCTCAAGCATGGCTGAACAAAACCAGTCTCTACCACAAATTGGACCCAGACCTGCCCAGGGTCTCGTAAGTAGATTGCACGGAGGAGTAGAGTTCGTTATTGGAATTAACTGTGAGGGACTTTTAAACCTAGGCCTGTGTATGGCCTTCAATTGAAGCTGCTTCTGCTCCGCCACTCTGCCATTGGACTCTTGATAGTCGTCTCCCCACGCTGCTGCTGGGGGGACTTTTTAACATAGGCCTCTGTATGGCCTTCAATTTTAGCTGCTTACGCTCCGCCACTCTGCCATGGGCCCCTGTACCGCCTCCTCATGCTGCTGCCAGGCCCGTAATCTGCCATGGGCCCCCGTACCCACTCCTCATGCTGCTGCCAGGCCCGTAATCTGTCATGGGCCCCTGTACCGCCTCCTCATGCTGCTGCCAGGTCCAGAGTGTGTCATGGGTCCCTGTACGGCCTCCCATTGCTGCTGTCTTCATCGCCACACTCTGCCATGTGCCACTTTCAGGTCTCCTCACACTGCTGGTGGGTTCCATTTTGTCATAGGGTGCTGTATGGCCTCCCATTGCTGCTGCCTCCACCGCCACACTGTGGCTCCACACTCTGGTTTTGGCCCCGTGACTGCCCAAATGAGTGAAGTGTGCGGTGATTCTAAGATCGACGGCACTCATCTGCATGTCATACTGACTGACAGTATTATTTATCTTCCCCAGCAGACTCCAAGGGCATTTCAATTAAAGGTACAGTGTTCTGCACTAATATAAAGGCTCTCTGAAGCCTAGAAACACCCTTTTTATAAGTTAAATTCGCAGCGAATATATTCAGCTCGAAGCGAATTTATTCGGCGAATTCGGCGAATCAGCCGAACCGAATTTTTGAATAATTCGCTCATCTCTAATTACTGCCTGTCTGCTGACTATCTCTTTCTTCAACTTTCTGAATTCTCTGCATACTTTTCAGCTTCTCTTCTGCTGCTTACTTTCAATTTCCAGGAACTACAAATCTCATGGTACCTTGTTGCCTGCAAGCATTGATTCCTGTACTGA